GCTCCCGTGTCGGGGGTGGGAGGCCGGGCCTGCCCCGGGACACGCAGCCGGGCTGGGGAGTAGCAGCGTGCAGAGCTGCCGGCCTTGAGCGCCGGTCGGGTGCTGTGGGTCAGTCTCTGTGCGTGGACGGGTTTCTTATTTTATTGATACGCTTCTCTTGCCAAGACCCTGGCGTGGGAACGAGCTAAGGTGTTACAGGGAAATAACGGGCTTTGGAACAAGTATCAATAGCGTCAGTCAGTCTCCTGGGACTTGCCAGAGAGAGGTGGGATGGGAATGCTGCAGCTCAGTTGCTCCTGATAAGAAAGAAAGCTTCTTTGTGTACAGCACTGCCAGCCTGGCCTGCTTGCGTCGGTGTGCAGCACTTCCAGGCAAAAGGTGGCTGCATGAAATTTCACACTCATGGAAAAAAACACAGGAGTGACCTTGTTTGCCACTTGTCTCTGTTCACACAGCATTGCTCAGGCGACTGGCTTGCCCACGGGCTAGCTCAATGGCACAAATAAGGCTCTGCTTAAGCAAGCTGAGATTTTCTGGTCTTTGAAGCCATTGTATAAGCAGTTTGGAGCTTTGGGAGCAACGTATGGGGACACAGCTCTCTTCTAAATGGGCTTCTCTTGAGTTACCTTCTCTCTCATTTAACACAGGGGATGGAAGTGGAAAGCAATGGACAGCAGCAAGGAAAGAAAATAGTGCGGAAACCCTACGTGGTGAACGGTCAGTGCTGCTTCTGTCCTCTCCAGGGAGAGCTTCACCACCTCCAGTCCTGGCGGGTTTACTGCTGAATGCCACCGCTGCCATTGGGGTTGGGGTTCTCCCAAGGCCCCAGGGTTATTTTGTCTCTCATCTTTGTGCTGACAGACTGTCCCTAGCTGCTGTGCTGTGCCAGGGGCAGGGAAGGCTGTTAATTCTTGTCTGGGCTTGTAGAGTATTCCCCTAGCAGCAGTCAGCTGGGCGCTCCTGGCCAGGCCGGAGCTGAGCTGAGAGCCAGGACGGCAGCTCTGCCATTCCTGTGTGTCCTCTGTCTCATGAATTTCCTTTTCTCTCCTGTGCTGCTTTTCTTGTCACCCTGAAATGTGCTGGTGTGTGGCACCGGGGTGACAAGAAAGTGTGGCTGCAGTACGCTGTGTTTTAGTGGTGCCTGGGCTGCTCTGAGCAGTCACGCTTTGCAGCCTGAGCAGAAAGGCTCCACTCCTCATGACGTGAGCTGGAGAGGAGCTGCAGCGCAGGCCTGGCTGCCTGTAGCCTGTGTGGAGGGCTGTTGCCTTGTTTATTTTCCTGCACGATGGTGCTGGGAAGCAGCCCTGCCCGGTGTGTGCAAGCAGCTGAGCTGTGCTGCAGGAGCCACCTCCTTTCTGCAGTGCTAGCGGGGCTCGATCTTGGGAAGAGGCTGGGGACCTCTGAGGTGCTGCTTCCCTCCCTCCCCTGCCTGCCTGCCTGCCTCACGGTCTCTCTGTCCTCTGCCTAGAGATGGAATATGAGGCCAGTCTCCCTGAGAAGAAGTCAAACACGCTCTCACGAGACCTCATTGACTATGTGCGGTACATGATACAGAACCACGGGGAGAACTACAAGGTAGGTACTGGCTGTCCCAGAGTGAGGAGCGTCTGGAGAGACTTGCTCCTGGCTCTTCTGCAGGATGGGAATCACCAATTCTCTCTGTCCTGGATCCTGTTTCGCAGTCAGCTGATTGTTAGGGGGAAGTAGCGCTTTGAACCCTGGCCAGATCTCTGAGTCAGGCACTGATCACAGCTGGCCTGGGTGGGCCTTTGGAACGGGGCTGGGCTGGGTTCCTGTTTGCTCTTGGGACCAGTCCTATGACTTACCCTCTCCTTTGTCACAGGAAATGGCTCGAGATGAGAAGAACTACTACCAGGATACTCCCAAGCAGATTAAGAGAAAAATCAATGTTTACAAGAATTTCTATCCCGAGGAGTACAAGGATTTCATTGCATCACTTAAGCAGGAAAAGATGGACATGCAGTGACTGCCCTTTTTTCTCAGGTTTGCCTGCAAGTGCAGGTTTGACATGACCATCTTCCCAACTGAGCAAGGACTGACTGACAGGTGACAGTCACTCACAAGCTCAGTGCCTGCAAGCTGAGCTATGCAAAGCCTCTGGTGATGAGGAAGGACCTTCTTTAGACAAAGATCACTATAACCAGGCATGAAAGACTCTTGGTTGTGGCTTGTGGCATTGGGACTGAATGTGCTGTGCTGCTCTCCTTCTGTGTGGCAGCCAGCACTTCTTTTGCCTTGTTAAAATAAATTGCGCTTTCAAGCTGGTGTGAATGTTTTGTTCGTGGGCATCAGGCACATGTTACAATCTGCAGCAGCAGGGCTGGGGACCCATGGGGTGTGGGCAGCGCTTGGGCCTTTGCTGATGTCCCTGTAGGCAGCAGAGGTTGGAGTGGGGCCATGTGCTGCATCCTTCCTACCCCCCCCAAGCGACCTTCCTGCCTCCAGCTGGAGGCCCCTTCCCTGCCAAGGAGCTGGAGGGCAGCACAGAGTGATCAGCCTCTTTTATTGACAAGGGAAGAGCAACTGTACAAAAGCTTTCACAGCAGAGACCGGCCAGTGTGTGCTCCCTTTCCCTGATGTGCTGCCCAGCTTCCCTGATGGGTTTTGCAGGACCCAGTGCCCCATGGCCTGACCCAGCAGCCTCCCGCCTGCAGACAGGGCTTCCCTCAGCCCCGAGCCTGGCTCCTTCCCCTTCTCCCTGGGGCAGCCGAGAGGGAGGGAGACCAGGTGGGGGGGCAAACACCTGCTGAGCACAGCTCCTACTAAACAGCCCATCTTCACCCCTGTTCAGGGTGAAGGGGCAGTGCAGGGCTGCCCAATACCTGCCTTCATCTCTTCTAAACAGGGCTTTAAATACAGAGTTGGGGGAATGTTCATCCCTGTTCATTTAATAACCTGCAGGGCTGCCATGAAGGTGTGGGATCCTGCCCCGTGCTGCACGTTCCTGCTCACCAAGAGGTAAGAGCCTTTGTCCCTGAACTGGGGGAGGTGGCTGGTCGTGTTCTGCATGAGCAGCTGTGCCACACCTCAACCCCAAACCTCGTGGGGTGCAGCAGACACCCCAGGACTGGCAACTTGCTACTAGCAAGTCTGAGCTCCAGCAGCACCTGCCCAGCTGCCTTCATCCTCACACCACAGACCCCGAAGAGGAGCCATGCCAGGGGTGGGAGCCTGTCCATCCCCCATGCAGGCTCAGGGCTGGGAGAGCAGAGTGACCAGCAGGTTCTTCACGTGGAGGACACTGGTGGCAGTGCTCAGGCTGTCCCAGGTTGCACTGGTGGGCAGGAGGAAGACTTCTCGCTCCTCGCTGAGCGTGTGCAAGGCCAGCTCCTCCCGTAGCTCTGCTGTGCTCAGGGCATCACTCTTGTCCTGCAGGGGAGAGAGGCAGCGGCTGAGGAGGGGAGCAGCCCTGGGATCCGCGCTGCTGGCTGGCAGGAGCCCCATCCTGCCTGTGTGGTCCTGCCAGGGATCGTGCACAGGCAGGGCTGCCTCGCTCCTGCGACGGAGCTGCTTTGGCACAAGCTACAGGGAAGCAGCGCGAGGCACGCGCTTGGTCCCCTGCCTGTGGAATGTATTTCCCTGTGGGGATTTTGCCTGCTGCTGCCTGGGTGCTTTCCTGAAATTCGTTAGCTGGGGCACTGCTAACAGCAGCCACACCTCCTGATGGAAGACTGGAGGAGATGGGCCCCGAGAAATCACATTTTTGCAAAAGCTGGTGGATTTGGGGTATCAAGGTTTCCCCTCAGGGCCCTGGGCAGGGACAGTTTTGCTGTAAACAACCCCAGGGGCAGCTGCAGGGGCAGACAGACAAAAACCCACCTACTTGTTGGCC